ACTTTGCATGTTCTCACCCTGGTCGTGTGGGTTTTTCTCAGGTCCTCCATTATTTTTTCAAATTTTGAAACATGCATTTTGATTAATTGTCTGCTCTACAGTTCCACACGATAAAACAATTAGTTGCGCTATCATTTATGGCCAGGCTATCATTTTTGGATCAGGTTGCTTCCCAAGAAGCACAATATAGCTCAGTTGGCCTTACCTGGTAAAATAAAAAAATATATTTATAGTTTTTAGTTCATTGTCAAAATATCAGCTCAATTACTGCTCGAAAACATAAACATACTTATTCAAAATGTCAAAGCTCGATCACTACTCGATCAGATAGACACATGTTTAAAATGTCATGGCTTGATCACTGCTCGAAGAAATAGACACATGCTCGATCACTGCTCAATCAATGCTCAATCATATAGACACGTGTATTTGAAATGTCATAGCTCGAACACATCGAGACCTGTATTAAAAATGTCATATCTGGATCACTGCTGAATCAATGATGAATCATTTCGACATACATATTAAAATGTCATAGCTTGATCACTATATTCTTGGTTCTTTCGGTACTGACCCGTACATGGTGGACACTGTACGTATGCGTGCTATAAGATGTGAGTCGTGGAGTTAGTTGGCAACATTGGACCCGAGCTCACTCTGCTTCATTATCTGTGGCGTCTAGGTGCTGTGGGTACGCGGTCTTGACAAGTAGTGACTTCAGTTCACCTTGAGGATCCGACGTACTCGCTGTGCACTTCAACATCGCATACGGGACCACACTTTGACAACATTGCCAACAAACATCGTTGACAGTTAACTGACTTGGTAAACTTCGTTGACTAACATTAACGAGGTTGAACACGTCCGTAACATCGTTAACAAAGTCGTTGACAAGGTGAAGATCCACGACATCTCTTGTACCGTCAAGGAGATATCTTCCGTGAGTACATTCGCCCCTTGCATTCGTCCAGATGCGTGCTGTAACAGGATAAAATTTACCTGCGACAAAATAATGATACATTATCTTCTTGGTTCTTTCGGTAAAGTCAAAGTCATGTAGAATGGAAATACAATATTTCCAATCTACGTGACTTTACCAAAATAACCAAGAAGATGATTCCCTGCAGTCACGAAAGCTTTAAATCGAAATTATACATTATGTTCATGCTTAGGGAAGCCAATCAGGTAGAATGGGAGGGCTGACAGCCAAAAAAATCCACCATTGGGCTTTTTTGATCCACAAATCGTCTTTTTTATGATACGTGAATTGTCTTACAGGAATCACTTCACTGATAAAAAATCACCTTTGCTTAATCACTTATTGATCACGTACACACATTTATTCAACATGTCACATAGCTCTCTCAGTCCTCAAACAATTAGTATATATTCAAAATGTCATAGCTCGACACAACTGATCCATACATGGTGGACATCATGTGTACATGCCACAAATTGTGAGTTGTGGAGTCAGTTAGCAACATTTGACCCGAGATCACTCGGCTCATCATCTGTGGCATCTAGGTGCTGTGGGTACGCGGTCTCCCAAGCGACTCCAACAAGTGGTGACTTCGGTTCTCCGTGGGGGTTCGCGCCTTCTTGCCGTGCGGCTGAGCATCGCATCTGGGACCACACTTCATCAACATCTCCAATAACTATCGTTAACACAGTTAACTGAGTTAGTAAACTTCGTTGACTAACATCAACGAGGTTGAACACGTCAGTAACATAGTTAACAAAGTCGTTGACAAAGTGAACATCAACGACATCTATTTGTACCGTCAAGACCATGTCTCCCGTGAGTACATTTGCCCCTCGCATTCGTCGACACACATGCACATATGTTACACACACCCCCGTGTCGCCTTCACACAAACAAACACACAGATGAATGTCACCCTAGATTCATATGGACCGCTGGGGAAAGCATCGTTAGTGTGCTTCTATTTAGACTGAGGCAGCTAACGAGTGATCCTTTTGGTCCGCACCATGCTGCCTTTCCCTCCCCAGTGTTGATGTTTATACACCGCACTGGGTCATCAGTGAAAGCTTAGTCGACCTTTCTCTATTCCCTCACCCCCGTGTGGCCCCCTACAGCCGCCCCCCCCTGCCCAGGCGGGATAGGGGTGGGGGCACGGGAGGGGATGTGGGATCCACGTGGGGGGGCAGAGGGCAAGTGGGGGGGCGTCCAGTTGTGCCTATTTCCGTAGACTTGCAATACTTTGCAGTAATTGGTCGAAGCGGTATCCACACGCGTGAAGTTAGTTATGGGGAGTGACACGTGGGGAGGGGCACGGGGAGTCAGAAATAAGATGATGGTTACCATGGTGATCGTTATGGTGGTTATGATGAGGACGGTAATGATGATGGTGGTGGTGGTTGTAAGCTGTGATGTGATTAGAGTCTCACATGCGCTGCTGTGATTTTGTTGCAGGGTGGAGAGAAGAGCAAGCCGACGGGAAGTGAGTACTGTAATTCCACACACAGACAAACACACAGACACATGCACCTGTATACAAAGACAGATCCCCGTATAGCCTTAACAGACTATTGAGTCAAGTGCTGTTAGCGATTTAGCACCTATGATGGGGTGGGTGGTCAGCACCGCATCCGGATGCCTTTGTCTCCCCAGTGTTGATGTTTATACGTTGCACGAGGTACTATTTTAAGTTTGAGTAGATGTAGGGGAGGCACACGACCGGTTTTATTTATTAGTCACTGATGGTTGTGAATGGGAATCGATCTCAGGTCGATCCCCACAGACACAACTGCTCCCAACCACTCATACAGACACTGCACATAGACACAAACAAAGACAGAAATTTCGATTTAAAGCTTTCGTGACTGCAAGGATTAATCTTCTTTGGTTCTTTCGGTAAAAAAAACGTAGAATGAGAATAAAATAATAAATTGATAAAATAAAATAACACAATAATATTATCACGACGTTTCGGCCACAACACAAGCGGCCTTCATCAGGTGAAGGGACGAGACTGTCTGGTAGGACAGCCCTCATTCCAAATTATCAGTGTACGTAACATGGTTGACCAGTAGGGAGCCATCCCTTGACCTCACCCAGGCATCAATCAGCCTCCCATTGTATCTGTAGCAAATATAAAAAAATCCACCGGTACAGCCATAAAAAGCTTCTCGAACTATGTGGTCGAAGATGATGCTAAATAATGTGTCAGCCAGAGTAGATCCCTGTCGCACCGCTCTGTAAACAGGAAATTGCTCTGACTCCCGGGCACGCAACTTTATCCGGGCCTGCCCACCATCGTGAAGGTCCTTAATGATTGTGAGCAGAGGGTTAGGGACTCCGGAAATACGAGTAACAATCCAGAGCCCTGGCCTACTGATTGTATCATAGGCCTTGACCAGGTCGGCGCTGCAACACTACACATGTAACGCATGGATTTGTTACACCATTCAACCACACACACAGACACATTTTAATTAAAACAAGTCCCTGATTTGTAAAAAAAAAAAAAGAATCAGAGTACCAGTCATCAAATAGGCAATTGACACTTGGTCCAAAGAATATGTGATACTGTAATAGAAATACATGAATAGCTAAATTCAGAATTTAGGTTAATAAGGCATAACCCAGTGCACAATATGACATTCATGAAAAGACAAACAGTGCAACAAGGGAAATCAGCTTTCAATCTGTATCAGACGGTCTCAGACACTAGTGTTGAGAAGGTGACATGGCAGGCGTTTAGAAACCCGCTGTGCCGGCGGATGTAAAGTCGTTACACACAGTGTCTTTCGAACAATACAACAGTCAGGTGCTTGATGCAGCTGGTGACTTTCCAGATGTGGTGGGGTATTGACGATGTGTAGAACGATGCAATTGTACTTCTTTCTCGAATGTCAGGTGTTGTCGGGCTTTGACGATGTGTAGCACGATGGATTTCCTTCAGTATCCAACGTATAGAGGTGTCTTCACCATGATAATTATGCACAGGCTTGTTGGTTTACAGTCACGTTTTTTCTAAACTCATGTGATTCATGGCACGTGACCTTGCAGCACAGTTTTGAGCAATGCCTTTCCTTCTCCAAGAGACACACATGTATCCTCTCTTTCTGCAAAACTCACTTTAAGTCTTCTTAATTTCACTTGCCATATGTATCGGCTCAATATAAATTGACAAATGCAAATCTTAAACTTTGCTTTTAAAATCTCCACTGTTTTACCACTATACCGTCTCCACTGCTTAACCACTATACCTCTGAGTGGTTACTCAGCGTTTCAGCCATTCTCGTGCAAGGAATGACTTCTGTTGAGAGCAACCTCACATGCACGGGAGCACATGCTATCCAGCCAACATAAACATCAGGGTTGCCCCTGGCTCTCTGGCCCCTCTGGGCACTCTCTGGGCTCCAGGCACCCCGGCCCTCCTCTTCTCCTCTCCTCCCTTTATCTTCTCTAATGTAGCCCACTAATATACTAATTGTATGAATGGACCAGTGTATAAGAATTAATAGTGTATTTCTCATCCGATTCATGCTCTCTCTTGTGAAACAATGGACATCTTATAAATTTAGCCAGACCTCCACAGCTTGGTCATCAATCCATCTTACTTTTTCTGAGATAACGGAAGTTTATCTATGATTGGCCTGGAGTTTCCAGACCTCACAAACTTAATATGGCCTCCCCAACCTGCCCATAAATCTAATGAAGTTCTTTGGAGGAGGAGGTGTCTCCGGCACATGTGTCAACCTCCAGACCTCCCTACAGTGTTATCATTGTTACATCGGTCTCAAGTTAAGTTAGATTCCTGTCAATGGTGCCAAGTTTCTTTACCAAAATAACATACAGGAAATACGCCTTTTGGCGTCCTCTGGTCTAACACCGTTTGAGACGAAGCTCAAAAGAAAGCTTTCCCTGGTGTGGACCAATCAGTTTCAAGGACAATGCATATATTATCAGAGTATGTTTTTTTTGCATTCTGAAAACAAGCATCGTGGTTAATGCAGACATGATTCCTTGTAAAAGGTTTCAGTTTGGTGTTTTAACATCTTAACACCTGTTTTGTTGCCAGTAAAAACGGGAAAACCCTATTATCATACAGGAAATACTCAAATACCCATTAACGAATCAATTGTGGTGCTGCTCTCTCCTCCCCATGTGACTCCCCAGACCGTCGCTCGAAGGGGCAACACAAGAGGATGCTCTGTGCCACAAAATTAGAAGCTAGGCGCCAGATTCTGGAGCTTGAGATGATCCTGCTGGATCATTGTGCACAGCAGCAAGCCAAATATCAGCGGGAGCTGCTGGAATTCCAGAACAGCACCGAGCTGAAGAGCTTCATCATCCATCACCAGCAGCAGCAGCAGCAGAAGGCAGAAGAGCACCAGCAGGAGGAAGTCAACACCAATAATGAGGATGTGAAGCAGACATGTCAGAATAACAACAAGGTTGAGAACGAGATGGAAGAGATGGAGAAAGTGGGGGAGAGAAATGGTATGAAGAGAAAACGTCGGAGTAGGAAGAAACATAAGAACAAGAAGAAAGTTCTGGAGGAGACAGTGAAAGAAGAGGTGGCTGAGAGAGAGGGGAGTGAGGGAGAGCCCATGCAGGAAGTGGTGGAGGTTGGGACGATTGAGGTAGAGATGATTGAGGCAGTGGCTTTGGAGGATGTGATGAATGAGGTAGAGTTGAATAAGGTAGAGGTGTTAGAAGCAGATGGCAAGCGGGAATTAGCGAATGAGGCAGAGGTAGCGGTGATTGAGGTAGAAGCAGTGGCCAAGCAGGAAGTGGTGAAAGATATAGCGGCCAATGTCATAGAGGGGATTGAGAGAGATGCAAAACAGGTATTAGCAGAAGAGGTAGAGCCAAATGAGGTCGATGAGAATGAGGGAATGGCCAAACAAGAAGTGGTGGAGAAAGTTGAGAATGTTGTGGAGACAAAGAAAGAGGGAGAGGATTGTGTTCAGAGGAAACGTAGGAATAGAAAGCTACGAAGGATTGAGATGAAAGTTCGGGAAGTAGAAGAGATGAAGGTAAACGAGATTGAGAGAGAGGGGAATGATGGAGAGCCCAAGAAGGAAGTGGCGAGTGAGGTAGAGGTAGCGGTGATTGAGGTAGATGCAGTGGCCACACAGGAATTTGTGAAAGAGGTAGTGGCCAATGTCGTAGAAGGGATTGAGAGAGATGCCAAGGAGAACTTAGGGAAAGAGGTAGAGGCAAGGGAGGTAAATGGGAATGAGGGAATAGCCAAACAGGAAGTGGCTAAGAAAGTTGATAATGTTATGGAGACAAAGCAAGAGGGAGAGGATGGTGTTCAGAGGAAACGTAGGAATAGGAAGAAACATAAGAACAAGAAGAAAGTTCTGGAGGAGACAGTGAAAGAAGAGGTGGCTGAGAGAGAGGGGAGTGAGGGAGAGCCCATGCAGGAAGTGGTGGAGGTTGGGACGATTGAGGTAGAGATGATTGAGGCAGTGGCTTTGGAGGATGTGATGAATGAGGTAGAGTTGAATAAGGTAGAGGTGTTAGAAGTAGATGGCAAGCAGGAATTAGCTAATGAGGCAGAGGTAGCGGTGATTGAGGTAGAAGCAGTGGCCAAGCAGGAAGTGGTGAAAGATATAGCGGCCAATGTCATAGAGGGGATTAAGAGAGATGCAAAACAGGTAGTAGCAAATGAGGTAGAGCCAAATGAGGTCGATGGGAATGAGGGAATGGCCAAACAGGAAGTGGCGGAGAAAGTTGAGAATGTTGTGGAGACAAAGAAAGAGGGAGAGGATTGTGTTCAGAGGAAACGTAGGAATAGGAAGCTACGAAGGACTGAGATGAAAGTTCGGGAAGTAGAAGAGATGAAGGAAAACGAGATTGAGAGAGAGGGGAATGATGGAGAACCCAAGAAGGAAGTGGCGAGTGAGGTAGAGGCAAATGAGGTAGAGGTAGCGGTGATTGAGGTAGATGCAGTGGCCACACAGGAATTTGTGAAAGAGGTAGTGGCCAATGTCATAGAAGGGATTGAGAGAGATGCCAAGGAGAACTTAGGGAAAGAGGTAGAGGCAAGTGAGGTAGATGGGAATGAGGGAATAGCCAAACAGGAAGTGGCTAAGAAAGTTGATAATGTTGTGGAGACAAAGAAAGGAGAGGATGGTGTTCAGAGGAAACGTAGGAATAGGAAGCTACGAAGGACTGAGATGAAAGTTCGGAAAGTAGAAGAGATGAAGGAAAACGAGATTGAGGGAGAGGGGAATGATGGAGAGCCCAAGAAGGAAGTGGCGAGTGAGGTAGAGGTAGCGGTGATTGAGGTAGATGCAGTGGCCAAGCAGGAAGTGGTGAAAGAGGTAGTTGCCAATGTCGTAGAAGGGATTGAGAGAGATACAAAGCAGGAATTGGTGAAACAGGTCGAGGCAATTCAGGTCGATACGATCGAAGAAAATGCCATGCAGGTCTTGATCAATGAGGTAGACACGAATGAGGTAAAGGCCAAACAGGAAATGGCAAAAAAAGTTGAGAACATGGTGGAGGAGATAAAGCAGGAAGGGGCAAATGAGGTTGAGGCATATGAAGTAGATGCCATCCAGGAAGTGCCAAAAGAGGTAGAGGAGATTGAGGGAGAGGCCAAGCAGGAGGTGGTTATGGAGGTAGAGCCGAATGAGTTAGAGGCGAATGACGTAGAGGTGATTGAGGTAGAAGTGGAGGTAGGGGCTATTGAGGTGGAGGAGAGTGAGGCGATTTTGGTAGAGGCGAATGATGTAGAGGCAATAGAGGTAGAGGCAAAAGAAGTAGGAGCTATTGAGTTAGAGGCAAATGAGGTAGAGCTGAAGGAGGTCGACATGATTGAAGACAATACAAAGCAGGAAGTGGTGCATGAGGAAGGAAGATGTGAGCAACCTTGGAGGGCAGAGAGTGTTCAGGAAGAGAAGAAAGAGATTAAGCACATCCCATCTTCTAAGGGAGAGAGAAAGAACAGTTTCTGGCGTTGGGCAATTTGGAGCTTCATGTGCTGCACACGGCAGCTGGAGAAAGATGAGGAAGAGGAGAATGGACGAGGAGGAGACAGAGGGAAGGAGCACCAAGACCAGGAGCTGGGAAACAAGAAGAAAGAAAAGTGGTGGAGACTCCGCAGAGGGAGAAACTAGCGTGTTCTCCCAGACATAGACATTGAGACGTGGTTGGATGGACATGTATATTTATACATATATATTTCAGTTGTAATAAAAACGTACTTATGTTTCTTGAACTCGACTTCTGGTATAAAATATGTATTACCGAAGCTATCAACAGAAGGTTTGTACAGGATTAACTGCACTTGTGGCAAATGTTACGTTGCGTAAACAGAACGAATGATCAGCACGAGACTAAAAGAACATCAGAGAAATATTAAATAAACACGTGTCAACAAGAACACTCAATTGATTTTGATAATGTTGAAGTTATGTGCAAAACTAGCTACGACTGCCCAAGACTAATTAGAGAATCTATCGAAATTGAAATAAATAACAATAATTTTAACCGTTTCGATAGCTTCAAACTTAGTGCTGCGTGGAAGCAAATCATCAAATAATACATTGTTTTTAATGCATGCCTATACAGAGTACCATACTTCAAGAGGGATTACTGTTGGTACGGCTAATTTAATACACACAATGGACAGGAAGGACAAGATCAAAGGGCTCGCAGAAGTGTGGTCACCACATCTATGCCTCTATATAAGGAACGAAACACGTGGACTTCTCCACAAATCTGGCTGTCGCCTGATGAAGCTGGTTGTAATTACTGGCGAAACGTCGTACTCAGATTGTAAATCTTGTGGCTTGGCTCTCCAACACACCGGTGTGTACTAGTGACGAATTGGCATGTTCTGTTTACATGACAACCCTTACTCGTTGGCTGTGTCAAGTGGTGCCGGGTTTTAATGACATTTATATATTTATGCGATCTAACCCTATTCAGTTGCATGCAACCAAGTTACACTTATCGCTCAGGTATGGGGTCGCCTCAAGAAATGCTTGTAATCGATGTATTGATGATGATGCACCATGGTCCCCAGTCTCATATTGAACCCGAGACGCAGTCTGTGCACTCCCAGCAGATAGCAACAGCACAAAAGGGAGCGCGTCACCAGCATTAATTGAGTAACTCACTGGTTCGTTCATTTCGTCTTTCATCTGTTCATTCTTCAATTCATAGGTTCATTAAAGAATTTATTTGTCAATTAATTCATTAATTAGGCACTTAATCCATTTAGTCATTCATTAATTCAGAAAATCATTGATCGCTTCTCTCAGTCTCCTTCCATGCATCAAGTCGTACGTGAAGTCACAGCTCAGTTCCCATTCGTGTTCAGCTATACAGGTGACGTCACAGCAGCTCTACACACAAAACGATGTCGTCCATGGTGGTGGAATATTTATTTGGTGCACTGCGCTATAATCCACTCAGCCATCCAGAGGGAGTGTGGGGCCTGGTGCAAATCTCACCGTGTGGGATTCCTGAAGCCTTCAAACTAAACCGGAAGTCACGTAGATAGGTTCATACATAGCAGGGGTCACTAAAAAGATTTCCAAAATCATGAACAAACACAAGATCCAGGTTCGATTTAACACAGTACGTAAAATTCGTGATCTGATCCAATCTGTGAAGAATGTGATCCCTGATATGCAATACCCCCGGCGTCTACAAACTAACCTGTGTCTGTGGCAGTAGTTACATTGGGGAAACTAAGCGACATGTCTCGAACCGTGTTCGTGAACATGAGGCAAATCTGAAACACAGAAGGACCAATACCTCGGTCATGGCTGATCATTGTTTTAATGCGGTGGGCTCACAAAATTGATTTCTCTAAGACGAAGGTACTTGCAAACCCACTGGCTATCAACAAATATTCGTTCATGAAGCCATCCATATATACAGACGGACACAATTTCAACCGAGAAGATGGGTACAAACTTAGCAATCATTGGAAGGACGTTATCAACCAGTTTAAGGCATAACTGGCTGTGATGCTTCATGCCACCTTTCGATGTAAATTAAAAAATTTTACCGTGGCTTCGGCTCTCCAATTTCACATTAACAGGTTGAATTTCTCGCGCCAACGTGGCCAACTACGGATTCCGACCTCTACGTCGAGCTGGCTCTGCGATCTTACATTAACACGCTAATCTCTCACATTAACGTCGCCACCCATGCACTCGTCGTGGACGCCGTTCTCCGATCTTACATTAACATGCTAATTTCTCACATTAACATCACTAGCCCCGCCCACTTCGTTTAAGACCCTAGGACGACACCCTATACAACAGTCTGCATTCAGCAGCTTTCCTCTTTCCTCCTGATGACGATCGCTTGTGTTGTGATCGAAATGTCACGGTTTTTTTGTTTTCTTTGAACCTATCTATGTGACTTTACCGAAAGACCCAAATAATATGAATTCCTGCAGTCACAAAAGCTTTAAGTCAAGATTTAAACCAGAAGTATTACATCTGATACCGCAACGTCAAAGCACAGGGTCCACCCACAGCCTGAGGCCTAGGGAAGTTGCCCCGATTTGCCATTACCAGGGATGGCTGTTCCAAGCAATGGCTAACATCAGTGGAGAGTGATATCGTGTCCTCCCTTCCCTCCACTAATCTGCACTGAGCAGCGTGGTGATACATGGTCATAAAACACCTTTGGATGACATGATGTGGAGAGGCCTTCGTCCAGCTGTGGATTGAAAATTGCTCAAATAGGCTTTTTAGAACATTTTAATGCATTTGGGGAGTAAGAGAGGTGCTTCGTGACACACGAGTACACGCATTTTTTTTCTCTCGTATGTAAAAAAGTGTATCTTCTTTGGTTCTTTCGGTAAAGTCACGTAGAATGATAATAAAATAATAAATTGATAAAATAAAATAACACAATAATATTCTCACGACGTTTCGGCCACAACACAAGCGGCCTTCATCAGGTGAAGGGGGGCGAGACTGTCTGGTAGGACAGCGCTGGAGTGAAAGAGCCACGTTCAGATACGGCCTTTAAGCTGTGTGAGAGGAACAAAGCGCCTTGACAAAGGAATTAGCATATAATTTAGCATTGAAATGGCTGAATGATTAGCTTGTGACTGGTCACAGAAATAGCTATGTTAAAGTTAAAGCATACACACCCGCAGAGGCACCCATTGTTAAAGGGATTAGCATAGAATTTAGCATTGAAATAGCTAAGTTAAGGCATACACATCTTGACAATGGAATTAGCATAGAATTTAGCATTGAGATAGCTGAGTGATTAGCTTGTACCTGCTGCAGAAATAGAGCTTGTACCTGCTGCAGAAATAGCTACGTTAAAGTCAGAGCATACACATTCACCGAGGCCCTTAGTACAAATCAAACAGGAGAATTTAGCATTGAAATAACTAGGCGAATCCAGCATTGAAACAACTGAGTGATTAGCTAGTGACTGGTCACAGAAATGACTACACATCTGAGCTATTCACAGTACTATATAGTGAACCAATAAAAACTAAAATATAAATTACCTTCATGTTATCAATAAACTCTATATTCTCCAATCAGCTAAGCTACCAACAATATGTCGTTATATATCACAATGCTATATGGCGAAAAAATGGGTGGATTCTTACCCTCAAATTTCAGCACCACGGATAGCTACGGGCCCCGTTCAGACGGACGAGTTCGTCCATGGTCGGAACAGAGGAGGGGGAGAGAGACAGCTGCGAGGCCCTAGTATGCTCCATATTGTAAAACTATACCATTAACCGTGGTGTGAGAGGTATTAAGAGGCAACGCTGGCGAAAGAGCTGCGGTCTGAAGGTCATCGTAAAAATACAATTAATTAAGAACAGAAATGATTTAAAACATCTTTCCAGTGGTTACTAAGCCTGAATCCATCTTCTCGGTTGAAATTGTCTCTGTGCTTGTATATGTGAATGGCCTCATGAACGAATCTCTCATGGTAGCCGGTTGGTTTGCAAAGAACCTCCGTCTTGGAGAAGTCAATGTCATGTGAGCCCACTGAATTATAACAGTGATCTGCCACGGCAGAGGAGTTCGTCCTACCGTGTTTCAAGTCTGCTTTGTGTTCGCGGATGCGGTCCGAGATATGTCTTTTGGTTTCTCCAATGTAGCTACTACCACAGAGGCACTTTAGTTTGTAAACGCCCGGGTACTGTATGTCTGGAACAGCATCTTTTACAGATGGAACTAAATCACGGATTTTATGTACTGTGTTGAATCGGACCTGGATCTTGTGTTTGTTCAGGATTTTGGAGATCTTTTTAGTGACCCCTGCAATGTAGGGTAAGGTGATGTTTTGAGTGGCTCCACAAGAGGATCCTTCTTCATGACTGGAGTGATGGCTTTGCGGATTGTGTAGTCGGAGTAGCCATTAGCCCTGAGAGCCTGGTGTACGTGCTTGAGTTCACTGGTAATGTGTTCCTGGTCGGAAATGCATTGGGCTCTATGGTATAGAGTCTTGATGAGGGAGTTCTTCTGGGATGGATGGTGGTGGGAATCCGGTTTCAAGTAAGCATCTGTATGGGTAGCTTTCCTGTAGACAGAGTGGCTCATTGAACCATCATGTCTTCTTTTAATTAAGACATCCAAAAAGGGTAGTTTGCCATCTTTTTCGACCTCCATGGTAAATCTGATGGCTGGGTGTATGGAATTGATGTTGTCGCAGAATTGGTCTAGAGCAGGCTGGCCATGTGGCCAGATGACAAAGGTGTCATCAACGTACCTCTTCCATAAGGTCGGGCGTAGAGTGGCAGTCTGGATGGCGTCAGTTTCAAATTTTTCCATGAATACGTTGGCTA